AATCTAAAAAATCTTTATTGTTCATATTATATTCGTTGACCCATAAGTCTGAACGACGGTCTAGTTATGATCTTGCCGTCTTGTTTCGCATGACAGCTCATCTAAACCATCATTCAGACGTACAATAATCATAAATAATATTTTCTTAAGATGCCTTGAACTAATTAGTAGATAACCGTTCATGATCTCACATAAATAAAAAATGATTCATTTGCTCTCTTGCTCTCTTGCTCTCTTGCTCTCTTGGTTCGGGCCCCACAAAATTGCTGTTAAGGCGCCTTTCATAATATTCAAGAATGCATGCGAGGATTAACTTAGCAAAATATTATTAAGAAAAAAATCATTTTAAGTAAATAAATTTTGTGAATTAAAGTAATTATCCATATAGAGAAAAACAACTAGTGTGTATAGGCCTAACAGCTTTAGGCCGCGAGACTACCTCATCCTTACGTGTCCAACAATCGTGCTGCCACCTCGCCGCCCTGCTCTTCTGCATGACTGCACCAATTAATTATATTCCCCATTATCCCGTACCCATTATTAACTGTCCCCTCACTTTCCGTTATTTTATATATATATATATATATATATAAAAATATATATATATTAATACTACATTCTTTGCGAGGATAGCCCATTAGAATATTATGAATGGTAGGGCTGTCAAAAAGGCTCACAACAGTTTGTGCTCGTTAAGAGGTAAGTGAATAAGTCGAATATGAACATTACGAATAAATATTTGTTCGTTCATGTTCAGCTCGTTTTAGTTCGAAATACTAGTAATCAATTATATATATATATATCTTGGAAGAGTAGTATTTTTTAAAAAATTAATTGACTACCAAGGCTATAAAAAATTATAATCAATTAAAAGTGTTAAAGAAGAAATAGAAAAAATATTATTAATATAGATTCAAATGATGTTTAATCTTTAAAATCTTATGGCTACGTGATTATGAATGTCCTCGTGTTAGGCTCACTATGCAAATGAACAGAACACGAAAACACATTTTGAGCTCGAAATATAAATAAACCGAACTCATTTACACCTAAAGAATGGCAGGCGATACACCCAACACATTTTGAGCTCAAAATATAAATAAACCGAATTCATTTACACCTAAAGAATGGCAGGCGATACACGCAATCCAGAAAAAAAAAAAACGATTTATAGTAGCAATTTTACTTGTTTCCTTATATGGAATCATCCCCGCAGCCGGCGGCTTCGGATGGTGATAGCCTTATCTCATCGATTGCGCCCTGAAATAGCTTCCCCTTAATCCCACGATACTCTGCCCACGTCACTGCCCTAAACTGCGGGCCCCGCTTCAAGTCCACTAGCTTCGGGTCGGGCCCCACGGACAGCTCCTTCGGCGGCCCGCAGAAATACGCCGCGGAGAACCGGGCGGCCCGGGTAACCATGACGCGGTGAACCGCACTCCTGAACCTCCCGTTTGAGAAGACATGGAGGAGGTCCCCGGCGACCACGATGAGGGAACCGGGAAGTGGAGTTACGGGGAGCCATCGGGCCGGGTTGCTTTCCTCGGTCCGAAGGAATTGGAGTCCTCTGCTGCCGTTGGATTGATGAAGAACGGTGATGAGAGCGGAGTCGGTGTGGGCTGCCATTCCCACGGCTCGGGTCGGGTCAGGGCAGGAGGGATACCAATTAAGCTGCAGCACGCCGTCCATCTGGTTCGTAATTGCCCTGCCATCTTCTTCTTTAAGCCCGAGAGCTCTCAGAATTAGTCCTGCGATTTGCTGGCCTAAAGACCTCATGCTCTCGCTGTATGCTTCTACGGCCCCACTGCATGCCAGTCACCGGCATTCGTTAAATAAATTACTTATTTTCAATAAAGTAATTTAAAAAAAATATTTTTTCTTCATTAAATATATTCGTGTATAATGAAATAAGGTACATAAATAATTTCATGAAATGAAATTATAGCTCGTATAAAGATGTTATAGAAGTAATTTTAAAAAATTTATTAAATAACTTTTTTGTTTATTTATGCGTACACTCTTGACTGTACTAACAAAATATAATTTGTTGTGTTTAACGACAATAATAAGGCGAAAAATCGGATCAAGAAAATAATTAAAAAATTAATTAAATAATTAATGAAGCCTATTAAATATTTTCTTTTGTCTTCTGCACCAAATCATATAAGGGATTAACAAAAATTAATTTAGCAATTACTTTCGAGTATCAATTATAATTTAATGTCAAACAAGGGAAAATATCAATTTGAGTTGTGGATCGGTTTCCATATTCACAACAATAGTATACAAAGTCTGCTATCATGGATAAAAGCGCAAGCATCAGCCTACATCAATCTGCATGCCACCCTTGTTTGGAAATGTTCGAGCGAAGACAATGGTGGGACTCGCACGTACCTGAAAGTTCGAGCGAAGACAATGGTGGGACTCGCACGTACCAAAAAGGGTTTGGATTATGGGGCCAGAGGGCGGCGGCGTGGGCTCGAGGCGGCCCGGACACGGTGAAGCCTTCCGACCACATAAGCTTGGCGAAAAAGGAGGAGATTGGGACTAAGCCGTAGCCTGAGATTGTGCCCGGCGAGCGGGCAGCTTTGAGTTTCTCGTCGGCCGGGAGTGCGAATAGCCGCCGGGCCTGTGATTCTAGTCCATCAAGGACGCTGCCGGGTATGCGGTGGCCAGTGAGCTGGAAGGCTCCCAGGGTTTCGAGAGCATGGCAAGTCCGTTGGGCTGCGTCGATGTCGGCAAGGTCGATGACGGGAAGACCGTCGGCCGGGTTAGCTGGGTCAGTGATTACCTGGTGCTCTTCCGTTGCTGTCCAACAGTGGGAGTCTGGGACTCCTTGGACACAGCTTAGATCGAAATAGTGAGGTGGCGAGAGAGATGGCATGGTGGAGTTTCGATTTCTCCTTAGACCTAATTTGGCTATGAAGGGTGAGGAGAAGATGAGTTGGGTCTATATAAATGGAAGCTTCAATAGAAGGTGATGTAACTAGAATATATAAATATCTCAGCTTATATATGCAATTTAAGAAAAATGTAAAGGTCTAGTTTAAATGGCATGGAGGACAAATGTTGCCCGTCGGCAGTTACAACGAAGTCAAGCGCATGATTACACGTTTATTCATTCAGTGGAAAAAGGTCAGAGGTGAGGTAATATAGATATAGATTATTAAGATGATATTAAAAATGTTTTAATTAAGATATGTATGCTAAGCAGTGTTGCTGCTGTGGGGCTCAACATATGTTGGATACGCTGCAAATCTTATTAAAAATAACGAATAAATGAAGAATTAGGGTATTGAATTGGAGTATTGTGGGTTAAGTGAAACAATATTAATGAAATAGATAATTATGGGTATTCGAAGACTAATACGAGTATTGTTTTTGAAAGATGCAAATGGAATATTTCTTTTAAAACTATTTCGTTTAAATTATATTTTTCTTACATTGTCAGTATTTATTTATTTTTATGGAAGAACCAACATATTTAGATAATTTGTATTTTTTATTATTTAATTTTTGTATTTATTCCATCATATTTTGCTTTTCCTTAAACTATTTCATTACGCGTCTACTATACATACATATATATATATATATATATATATACACAAGG